CTTATGTTCTATGTTGGTCTGTACAAAGGAGATCATTACCTTATGTTCTATGTTGGTCTGTACAAAGGAGATCATTACCTTATGTTTTATGTTGGTCTTTAACAAAGGAGATCATTACCTTATGTTTTATGTTGGTCTGTAACAAAGGAGATCATTACCTTATGTTCTATGTTGGTCTGTACAAAGGAGATCATTACCTTATGTTTTATGTTGGTCTGTAACTAAGGAGATCATTACCTATGTTTTATGTTGGTCTGTAACAAGGAGTATAATTACCTTATGTTTTATGTTGGTCTGTAACAAGTACGTTCATTACCTTACGTTTTATGTTAGACTATAACAAGTAAGCTCATTACCTTATGTTCTATGTTGGTCTGCTGGTTTTTGTCCAAATGGACTTTGATTAGTCGTGATCCATCAAGGCGAATCCTGATCCTCTTTCCAACTATTTCGGCAGGAAAAACTATGTCTTCTAACATAGCATCATGAACAGCTGTCAAGGTACGACTAGAGAAGTCATAAATATTGTTAAAAACTTCAAACAAAAGCCACATACTTGCTCAGCACATAAACAAACAAGGCATTCATAAGTACTTTACACCATGTTCAACAGTAATGGTGAGTTTAATGTACGTGTAAAGGTGGGGGTTAATATGCCCATGCCATTCAACATTGTATGTATTTGATGTCATAGTTATCAACTATTCATTTTACCCTATATTGTTGATCTAGAGCAACACTTTATGATAAGATTAAATACTAGATACAATATACAGAGATACTGAAACCAACTGTAGACCAGAGAATCTAGAGGTTATGCATGACGGACAAAAGTGTTTATATCCTTCACACGAACATCACCTTATACTCCAAGTTGTCAGTTTGAGTCAGACTGATGTCAGCAATTCACAACAACATATCTTGAGTATAAACACCTTTGTAACACATCTGATTTTTGATGTAGTACAGATGACTTGAACACTTTACTAAAAGTTTGTCATATTTTGTGTAGATATACACATAGTATATTGAAAATTACAATCAACATTCCTTCACCAGTATGGGGTTGGTCTGGTGGTCCAAGACTAACCATGTGGATATTTGGTTAACACTATATCTACGGGTCTTTCTATGGACATGGGTCAAAGTCATTAGTAGACTTACATTCAAAATTTTATTGAACTACTATTTTATGAATATATATCAATAAGATTGTTATCAAACTGTAGATTATAATTCAAATTTTAGTATTATACATCAGTTAATTTTTTAATTTAAAAGTAAATATTAAAAAAGTTTCTAAATATAGATTTTTGTGTGTCATGTGGGTATGTTGAATGCAGCACTGGTTCAAATTAGACGTTTGTGATATTCATATAAAAAAAGCCTATAGTTTCTTATGAATTAGGAATTCAAATTACCCAATATTGATAAGCTAAAATATAAAATAAGAATCACCCATCTTTCCTATTTGCCAAGATATCACTACATTTACTGAATCAAACACAGTGGTCATGCCCACCTCTGTCCATTTTTGGAAAGACTTGATAACATACAACTACTTCTATGATGTGTGAATAACCAATTGAAAGCTTAGAATGTCCCCTAGTGGCTTTCTCAGCCTCATTGAAGTATTTGAGCAGCAAACTCGTTCTTTTCATGCTAGATTCCAAGCAGTTAGGTAAGACTTTGGCGAGCTCTAAATTTTATATTTTTTTTCAGATCCAAGTACAGCTCAGTTACTAAACTTGATAAATTATAGTGGGATACTTTGGAATACGTATAGTAATTTATGATTTTTGGGTATTTGAAAATATTTATATATAAAACCTAAAAAAAAATGAATAAAAACATTTTCGTTTCACATCCTCCACATGCAAAATTTGATAAGGCTTAGCAACCTACACCAAGCCACAAATGGGTACAAAGTTCGTAACTAGAAGAGATAAATGTTTTAAGAAAAATAACTGAAATATGATTGTATTTGACAAAATACTAGTCTACTAAAACACAGCCAAGACTAAAGGTCAGTTTTATATCACTGGATACGGTAACATGAGGCACATGCATCGCATCATTGTAACTTCTGTATTGTTTGCCAGGCAAGGCCGAAAGGTCAGTATAATAAAAATAATAAATAAATAAATATATATATAACGTTATGAAATTTAAACTATTTATACTAAACATTTGTGTTTTCATGTTATAATTTGTAGTCATTGTAGAATAAAAAAATCATAATTTATATTTATTTCTTAATTTTTTATGTTGGTTACAAGGTCGGGCAAACCGACTTAACCCATACAAAGATACAGTAGTGAAAATAACAGATAAAATATAAAGTTTTTTTTCTAACAAAAACATTTGATAATTATCTAGAGGTTATAAAGATTTTGCATGTGAAATTTGAAAAAATCTTTAATTAAAAAATCTTAATACTTAGTTTAGAAACCTGATATTTTGTGTAATGTTTACCAATAACCTGCAAAATTGTGTAAAGATACGCACACGTTATCAAAAAATCACATTATAATTACTCTCACGAATACTTTCGTGGTTACGAGGTGGGTGGATCCCACCCAGCTTGTAATGGTCGGGGTAATAAAAGTACTGTTTCACGGTTTGCCTTCTAATAATTTTAGAAGTTTCCCACAATCCTTCTCACCTCCTTGGTCTCTTCTGTTTGGTTTTAACTTTCATGTTTCTCGATGGTTTGGGAAGAATTCGTCTCTGAGCGATGAATACTACATGTTTGCCACTGAACTTCTTTTCAAGTTCTCTGACAAGTCTGGCTTGGATCTTTTGGTAAGGCTTTAGCTGTGGCACAGGAACAAAGATGATGATAGCCTGAAACATGAAACCTTTATTACAGATTACCTTAATATTTGACTGAAACTGGTATGTTATCTTACCAACTAATCCATTATAATAATACTCGGTTTTCGTCTGTCCTGAAAATGCATGAGCACCTGGATATAAATATATTCTAGTAGACATTTTGTACAACATATTAAAAGCTTGAAGGTTTTAAAAAGGTCTAAGGTTAGATCATAGAATAACATTATTAACTTATTTACTGAAAGTATTAAGTATGTTAAAATTTAAACTTAACTAAACTAAAGCAAACAACGTACACAAGTTAGTGATAACTTATCACTTTATCGAATATAGACTGTACTTAATAAAGGCTTAACAAATGTTAGGTCTAAGACAAGTGAACTTATAGATGATGTCTGCAATTATAATTATTTTTGTATTACTCTAGGAATCCTGTATTTAAAGAAGTACTGTTGCAATAAAGATACCAATTTGACTGTAAATGTTTTGTGAGTCTCAGCTAGTTACCATTATTTAACTTTACATTCTTATCTTACCACCTACTTACTACCATTTTATAATGTTTTAACTGTTGGAGCAAGCCCCATTTTGAATAGAAACTATTTTTGAATAGTATGATTTTTCTATTCCATAGTGACCACAGTAAAATGACATGTTACACTGTACCACAAACACACATCTTATTTATTGTTTAACATTTTCTAGTCCAGTATGATTTTTCTATTCCACAGTGACCACAGTAAAATGACATGTTACACTGTACCACAAACACACATCTTATTTATTGTTTAACATTTTCTAGTCCGGTATGATTTTTCTATTTCGTAGAGACCACAGTAAAATGACATGTTACACTGTTCCACAAACACACATAAAATATCTAGTTTTTCAATTATGTTTTAAGATTAAAAATACTTTTCTATATCTGAAATTTGTCAAGTTTCATTTGTGTAATCCCTATATCCTTCTAGATAATCAAACTTTTTTTAAATAAAACTTTATATTTAATCTGCTATTTATTCAATATTAACTCAATATGGTATTGATCAATTTGAGTGGCCTCGTAACCATCATAAAAATTAGGAAATATATCTAAACTACCATTTTTTTTGTTTCAGAATGACTACAAATTGTAATAGGAAACCACAAATGTTTATTCTAAATAGCTTAAATCTCATAACAGTATAAATCTAGTTATATCTATTAATCTTTGTTCTATCCACCTTTGAACCGTGTCTGACTAAAAATATCCCGACAGAATATTACATGGCACATGAACAGCGTAATGGAGAAACTTCTGGCACGTATACCCCATAAAAGTTATTTTACTTTTATTATTTTAGTTACTTTTATAATAATAAACAGTTAAACCAAATCGAAATGGTGTATTTAAGTGTTTCACACTCACATAAAAGAAACCCATCATTAAATAGATATTTGAAGAACTTGTAACATTTCATCACAATTCAATTCTCCGTATTATTAGCCGACACTGGGCAGCTGGTAGATAATTGAATAAATTTATTCAGTTAAAACAAATGGAAAATAAAAAGCCTCAATTAAATATCAAAAATGTTTATTTTCAGTAAAGCTTTATATTTTATTTGTTATTTTTTGTACTGTAACATTATACTTATTTCTCCAGGTTGTAGATAAGTAATCAAAGTATAACGAAAATAAAATGTATAGTATTGTTAGTAGTGATTACAAAATTTCAAAGTATTTATGATCTCAACTTTTCACAGTTATTTTATTACTAGTAGACGAGTTAGAAATTAGAAGAAACAAAATGAATAGTACTCTGTTCTTTTCAGTACGGACAGTAAAGTTCCAAGTAAATCTCCCGAGAGTTTCTTCCAATCTTTTTAAACCTACTTCCTGTTCAGGAGTTACTGTACTTTGACACCATCAATATCAAATAAGTTCACGCAGCACAATTTCCAGAACTTTCCCCGATTTTAAAACACAGAGGGATAGGATATATCAACTTGTTGACAGTATAATGATTACAACAATAATTGTCTAAAGTATTATAAAATGTTTATGACTTTGTAGAAAGTCTGGGCTGATCCAATAAATCAAAAAGTGGAAGTATCCTACAGAAACTATTCGGATTGCTGCTCTGAGAACAGTGGAATATAATTTACAAGCTTCTTAACAATACAGTGGTTGCAACAAGAACTGTCTAAAGTACTTTATAAAAGTGAGAAAAAATATGTATGTATGCTAGTTATCTTACTTGGTGGTAAGGATTTAGTGTTGGTATGGGTGTAAATGCTTATGGAAATCATGTTTCCTATATTACCATGCTTACACAGTAACCAATAAATATGTAGTTTCCAGTAATATAAATATGGCTAGTTTTGGTTAGGCTAGTATTCTTGACTGTTACGTGAGAAACAAATTATTCACCAGCAAACTGCAAGTTCAACTGGGTGTTTATGTTCAGATCAGGTGATCAGTGGTAAATGTATTTCTTCAACTTTCACAAATTACATAAACTTTTCCTGAATTGTCAAGTCTTTAGTTTTCTATAATTTTTTTTTACTCTACCTCAATGTAAACAAGTAGAAAAACAACATGTTCTTACTTTGCAAATTACAGTAACATATTGGCTACCATACATTACATAATGTTTTCAAATAAATACTTAAATGTCAGTTATTTCTCTTCAAACATAAAAAAGTAAATAAAGAAGTCGTTTGCACTCATGAGCCATACTTGCTAAGCCTTGTATAAGCATTTTGGAATACAATAAAAATTATAAGTTACTATACCAATACCCCCCAAAAATCAACTGTAATTTACCAGGTTTCAAAACTAAATTGTATTTGGGTCTAAGAAATTATAATTTGTATTCACAAAATATCCTTGATAGCAATACTTCAAACTTTCCAATGATATAAGAACATTTCTCTCGTAAACAACTTTGGAAGACTGACACAATTATGTAGAATAAATATATAGCTTTCTATTGATTATAAAGTTATTGGTATATAAAAGTCTTCTCAAATGATGAAGTGGTGGGCAGAACCAATATGGTGGGTTTGCTAAATATCGTGGTATCACAGCAAATAGAAAAAGTAGCAGGATCTTATTATATATTCTAGCTTGCCAATATCGAAAATTTGAGTTTCTAATTTGTATGAAACTATGGACGTTATATTGTGGGCATCAAAAAATTTAATCTGACCAAACCCAGAAGGTCACATACCACTGACACAAAAACTGATATTTAGTCTTTTTTTAAAAATATTTAGTTTCAAATTAAGAGACTAACTAATGTATAATGTACACTAAAATTTGAATTATAATCTACAGTTTGATTCCAAATATATAACATGTGTTTATAAAATAATAGCTAAATAAAATTATCAACCAAAAGGTGGGATCATTTTCTACTTGCAATCTTGCCATGACCTTCCCCTTTGGTTATTAAATTAAAAGCATCTTACGATCACATATCTTTAACTTATCTATATGTTGGTTTTATATTTTTTTATAACTATGTAAATATAATTAATTATTCCTCAACTGCTTATTTATTTTCTTTAAGTATTTACTTTGGTAGTTCCTTTTCAATTTATACCCCCCCACCCCCATTGGAAATTACCACCTTTCTTTCACTTGTACTTATTACGCATGGTGACAAGGACGATGCTACGATATTACACAAGTGCCAGTGATTAGCTACCGAGTGTATGGTACAATGTAAAATAAAGATCATACTATCATTGTGGCAAATGGTATCTCACATTGGTGAAGACCAGCCTAATTAAGAATAAATCCAATAATATTAACCATGAGCTTAGGAACAATTTCCAACTCTACAACAAATAAGTTATCGAGGAAAGTTAACATTCAAGCAAGGCTAAAACTGCTCGACAGAAACACTTTTCCTGGAACTGTATCTTACCATCAGCATAAGATCGATCAATGTTTCAAATTACCCATAATTTCTAAGATTCTCTTCACACAGTTTATGAAGGTAAGTAATGTGCAGTTTAATTACAATATCACTGGTCATTATGAAGGTAAGTAACGTGCAGTTATGTGAAAATATTGTTGGTCAAGAAGGTAAGTAATGTGCAGTTTGATGAAAATATTGTTGGTCACGAATGTAAGTAATGTGCAGTTTGATGAAAATATTGTTGGTCATGAAGGTAAGTAATGTGCAGTTTAATTACAATATCACTGGTCATTATGAAGGTAAGTAATGTGCAGTTTGGTGAAAATATTGTTGGTCATGAAGGTAAGTAATGTGCAGTTTGGTGAAAATATTGGTGGTCACGAATGTAATGTGCTACATAGTTTTGTATAGAAAAATTCTTTAAACCGTTTATATTTTGTTTTTTTCAAGGACATTTTCCCTTACTAATGTAGCACTACATATTCAGTAGGCTATACTTCATCAGCTAATTACTACACTTCAACCTTATAGTCCAATGATATCTCAAACACTACACAAACTTAAGTAACTTGTTTGAAAATTTTAGTAGTTGGTTAGCATTTATAAGAAAAAAAGGAAAATATCTTAAAACAATTAAAACAGTAAGATGGAAAGTTTTGTCCTTCAAGTGTAGGAGTTAACCAGCGTCTTCAAGCAATAAAGAACTAGAAGATCAAGACTGTTCTCCAATTTATTCTTGCATCAGGGTGGAGTACTAGACAACATGAACATTATCTAGCACACTCTAGTGATGCTGTTCACCCTTCACAACGTAATCTAACGTTTCAAATAACAAAAAAAATTAACAGATTTTAATAAAAACATGGTATGAAAGATACCCCATTTTCTGAGTACGGAAGACCTTAAAAGAAAGTTACATATATTTCATGACAATCCATTTTTCAAACCTTAAATCCATTATCTCATACCATCAATTACGCTTATTATATATATATATATATATATATATATATATATATATATATATATATACTACCTACTCTACTACACACTATATACTCTACTATATACT